TGCTGAGTGGGATCAGAATCCAATGAAGGAACTGCACTTACATGTTCAGCCTCTCCGTCTGTACAGTGTGCTGATGATATCTCTACCCCCGTTGCTGGTTTCTCTGCTGCAATCTGAAACAATGTTGGACTGAGTGTCCCGGTTTGGTGCAATGCAGGCAAACCCCTTTCTTCACCCTGTGTTTCCACTCACTTTCACTTATCCTGAGATCTACCCATGGTTTTGTGGCAGGATCTTCTGGTTTGGGTGGAATCTTCGGTCCCTTGGGAAGAAGAATGGTGTTAGTATTGTTCTTCACTGTGGTCCTCGGTCCCTTGCATTTGACGGCAGTCTTCTTGAAGGCATTCATAGATTCATCATCATTCACATACTCAGTCTCATGGGCTGACGAAGAGCAAGATGCCTCGCAGCCTTGCTCTTGATGGTCATCAAGAGAAGGATCATGTGCGAAGGTCTCCTCGTCATCCTCAAGTAGATCGTGCGCTGAAAAACGGTTGTTGCTTGGGAACTGTTTGCGGTCGGTGGCCTTTTTGCCACCCGATCCACCCGGGAGGTCTTGTGCCTCGAGCTTGACTAAATCCCGCATGAGGGTAAACCAATCTGTATACGTTATGAGTCCGAGCCCCAGGCGATGTGTTATCGTAGAGGGGACCGTTCCTTTAATCACATCCAAACAAGACTGCGCAGTCATTTCCAAGTCAGGAGTAGCAAAAAGTTTACTAACATACTGCTGCAGACTATGCATGGTGTCGGTCCACTTGCTGTGCTTGAGCTTGTCAAGCTTAAGTCTAGCTTTGGCTGCAGCATGTGGATCAGCATATTGCTTGATCAAAAGCTCTTCAAGTGTGGCTACCGGCGTAGCCTTCAGCCATTTGTCCTGGTCTATTCTTTTATAGCCTGCTTGTACAACTTGGATTTCCAAGAATCCTCTTACGGCGGGTTCCACATTGATCCCTAGGACCGACGATTGAGTATCTGGAAGTGTCCCCAACTCATCAAAGTACGATCGCGTGGAGCTGATCCAAGATTCGATGTCGCTCTTTCCGTCATACTTAGATGGAATCTGCGCCGCCTTTCTATCCATGTAAGGAAAGCTGCAGCTTGGACCAGCGGTTGCTGGGTCCGAATTCGGGGCTGCAACAGTTCCAAAATGCCTTGCACTGCCACTTGCCGCTGCAGCAGCAGCAACAACAACAGCGGGGTCTGGACCTGCAACAGATCCGATTAGGGTGTTGGCCACACTCAAAGAAGAAGAAGACATTGTTAGAGATGCAAGAATGGACTGACACGCAGCACTGGAAGCAAGGTAAGCAGGCGGAAGGATACTTTGGGCTGGCTACACGTTAGCGAACTGTTGCAGCTGGTCACGGTTTTGCTGCGCCATCAGGGCCATGTCCTCACGCAACTTCTTGAGTTCGTCGAACACTTTGGCGAGTTGGCCAGTATGGTCCTCAACAGCCCGGACGTCTACTAAAGCCCGAAGGAGTGGAACGGTTTTCTCTCCCACCTCCTCATCAGTTAGGGCAGGCACGGTACAGAAAACGGCTTCATGAACCTTTACCTTATCCTCCCTCTCCTTCTCCTCCTTCTCCTCTCTCTCCTTCTCCTCCTCTTCCTCTTCCCTCTTCAATGCTTTTTCATAAAAGAACAGGTATTGCACTTTTCCTGCCTCAGGGGCAGTGTCCATTTGCAGCTTCCATTCTGCTGCTGATGCCGTGATGGAGGATGAGGGTGTTAACAAGTCTCTCAAGAGGGGTCCGTACTTCCTCACACTTTTGGGACGAACACTCCTCTTCCCTCTCCTCACTCCCTCAAGCGCAACACTCAGAAGCTTCTCTCTTCTCTCTCTCTCTCTCTCGTTTGCGATCTTGTAGACGCAGGCATTTAACGAACCCAGTAAAAGAAATAGCTTGAATTCAATCAGATGAGAAGGTAGAACTCCTAGCCGGAGCGGCAATTCATATGGACTGGAGAGCAGTCAAAACAACAAAAGAAATGAAGATCAGAGAGATCTGATCCAGCCACACAGTCTGGACCGACTATGTATGAGGTCCTCTCAAGCCTAGCCGGACTCAGGTCCGTGAAGACACAGCAAATCAGATTCAAAGTGTACTACGTAATGCAAGAAAGAATTGAGTCGTGCTCAAGGTGCGAGTCAGCCGGTGGATCGTGCGGTAAAGTTCGATAAAACGCCTCAGCGGAGATCCCCTCTGCAGCGAGTATCCTGGTCCGAAAGCATAATGTGCGAGTCCCAATCAGATTGAGCAAGGTAACTGACGTCAGCAGATTTGGCCTGAGGGGCCCTTCTTGTTTGGGCCTGGTCCCACTGAGTCCCAAACGGTCCCAGTGGAGTCTGAACCGGGTCCCAACCAACAAGAGTTTCACGAAGACCTACTCTGTCCCTACCGAAGTGAAAAACGAAATTTTGCCTCAGAAAGAACCTACAGACTACAACCGTTCAGAATGAAATAGATCAAGCACTGTAGAAAGATATAGCATGGCACACAAGATACTCCATCCATTTACTCATCAGGTGAGTAAGCAGTTCGCGCACTTCACGCAAGATCAAGACTATAGGGGATGGAAGAAGAACCCAGAAAACCCCAACAGGCAGTCAATTCCATGCACACACACATGGGCCCCCTGGCGGCACGACACTTACTTGAGTGGCCGGGCTCTTGAGATGAAAGAACTCACCCCCCTCTCACATAGTCCTTCTCACCCAGTTAGCATCCTCTACACTAGTGTCCTATCATCTAGGAGGGTCAACATCTACCCCAAAGTACAAAGCAACAACTTTCAGTCAGTAGGTGCAGATATGGCTGCCACCCTCAAGCTCGCCTAACTTGAGGGGAGTCCTAAAGTCACTGCTCGTCTTCCTTGAAGTCCAAATTCAAGTTGTAGGTGCCCTTCACTGTCCCCTCTCTCAAATTGCATCACAAAGTCCCACCTTGTGTCTCGCCACCACAAACATGCACTCAAGCAACCTGGCCGGGTCTAGTGTCGACCCTACGCGGCCCTGCCAGGTGGGGGCAGCTTCCCTTTACCACGCTGCCCCACTTAACCCTAACTTCCGCCCTAACCCTAAGTGGTTAGCCCTTACCACCAAAGTCAACTCTCGCCGGCAAGTAGAATCCGCTCTGATACCAATGTTACAATCCTGGCCAATTTCGAAGTATACAAACATCAGAAAGTACAATGCTGTCCAATTGCAAAAAGAAATGAATGAACTTGAGAGGAGGGAGAGGAAAGAAGAAGAAGAAAAAAGAATAAAGAAGAAGAAGATGTACTCCAGCATAGGCCAATGACAAGGCTATTCTTCTTCGCCAACCAATCTCCTCCTCCTTATCTCCTCCCCTCTTTTTCAAACAAGAAACAACAATAATAATGCTGAATGGCTGAACCAGAATCAATGTCCGAATCCCACTTCTACTGCAGGCACAACATGAGGTCCACCATAGCCATGGCCACCCTTCCTCTTCCTCTACATACAGGCCGAGGCTATGGCGGACTACTGAGGCTCCAGCCTCCTGTCCAAAGGACAACCCAAAGCAGCTATGTCGCCGCCCCACTTCAAGCAGCTATGCCGCTGCTCACTGAACCGCCATGCCTGACTCTGCCCCGAGCTTTCTTGGTGCGGCACCACCCCCACTGGGGCCTTCCAGATGCAGCGCCTAACAAGGTGATGAAGATGGTGTCTACCATAGCCAGGTAAGTGCCTCGCCACTCTCCTCCTAGGTCCCCTACTCCCTCCCCCTCCTACCGGTAGAGCTCCACCGTAGCCAAGGTGGAAGCTCCCGGCTTCTTCCTCCCAGCTGCGCTGTAGTATCCAGCACCACTCCAGCCAGCGCTCCAGCAGCGTGTCGCCAAACTTGCACACTGAAGAATGAGGCCGAGCTCTTGCCTCGGCCTCTTGATATAGCGGCCTGCTTGCCTCTTGGGCGGTGACTTCCAGGGCGCTCAGCCTCCCAAGCAACCAGTACCTCCTCCCTTTCTGAGGGAAACATCATTGCAGACTCGGATATTGCCCGTACAGGCTCTACACTCAGACTGGATGGACTGGTACCGGCCTAGACCTAGCCTACCGCTACTGGGTCTCTAAAAATGCCAACTTTGTCTTCTTCTACTCGGCCTCGAGTACCCGGCACATCTACTGCTACTGGGTGCAGTACCGGCCTACCTCCAGGTGCCGCAGGCCCCTGCCTCTGCTACTTGAGTCAGGCACGCATACATACAGACTTAAAAAACACAGCAGAATGCGGGAATCTTGGCAAGGCATCCATTCCATCGGCAGAACTTCAAAAATCAGCAGTGTTCTCAGTCTGTGTTATGGCGGGTCATTACAATTCCTTCATTATTGCGGGCGTAACCGCAACAGGTCCCCTAGTACTTGTAACAGATTTTGAGGTATCTTTAGCACAGGCAGCAAGACTCTCTTGAAAGTATGTGTCCAGTACATACAGAAGTGAAGGTCTGTATGTGCGCAGGATCTTTCTTTCCGTTTTGTTTCAAAGGGGCTGAGCCAGTCGGGATTCAAACTCGTGACCTGTTCATCAACAGTTACATGCGTACTATTCAGCCACTTGGGCTGGGTGTCATAGTTTGTTTTTTTTGGCGGGGTGGGGTGGGGTGAGAGAGAGAGAGAGAGAGAGAGAGAGAGAGAGGTAATCAAGTGAACATCTGCGATTACGGGATGCAGAAGCTGATGACTCCACTAAACAGTCGGCATACACAGAATGACCTGTTCATCAACTGTTTCATGCGTTCTATTCAGCCACATGGGCTGCGTGCCAAAGTTTCTTTTGTGTGTGGGGGGAGAGAGTGAGAGAGAGAGAGAGAGAGAGAGTATGATGTTGTGTTGCCATGTTTGCAAGAGAGAGAGAGAGAGAGAGTATGATGTTGTGTTGCCATGTTTGCAAGAGAGAGAGAGAGAGAGAGAGAGAGAGAGAGAGAGTTGGATGATGGTGTGTTGCTCAGGAACATTGGTGTTTGCTTGACAGGTGAGCATCTGGGATTATGGGACGCGGAGGCTGATGCACTCAATTAACAGTCAGCATACACAGAATATATTTTGCTCGAAGTTCATGCCAGAGTCGGGGGATGATCTCATCATATCGGGTGCGGGCGACTGTGAAGTATGACCACTAACCTATCAGCTGTACATGTGTTGAGTTTTGAGGTGTCTTTTGAGGATTTTCATATCCCTGCGATGGAAGTTCATTTTATCTGTTTATCTGGTGGCAGTTCGCCTTTTTCCATACTTATGTATCCATTTCTGGAAATGAGGGTTACTGTCAGGTATGTGCATGCATTGCATTACGAGGATACATGGTTTGTGAAAGGCCCTGTGCATTGCATTATGAGGATACATGGTTTGTGAAAGGCCCTGTTTCTGTTACAGATCTTTTGTCTGTTTTTAATTTTAAGGTAAGGTTGTGTCCCTCTTTCCCCCTGGCCCCCCAGCTCTCTCTGTGCGACTCTGTGGCCCTATTCATTTAAAAAAAAAGTTACTTGAACAACTCTGATATGTTATCTGAACTTCATGAAGTTTAAGGTCATCATGGGATCCTGGCTGGTCATTGATCAGGGGTGATGTGTTCTGTGGTCATACAATGAATTCTTAGACATCCAGTATGTTGCCCAGGCAAACTTGAGAATCCAACTTGTGTCAATCTGGGTTCTTCTGATGAGCAGCACTACTCGACCAATCTGGCTGGAGGGGCCAGCCAAAAAAGGAACGAAGCACCGGTGGCAGTTCGTTTTTCCTTCACACGCAGTGCAAATCCACATTGGGGAAACGAGACTCGGAGGCACTGGTGTGTAATGGCCTGCAAAATCACAGACTGAGAACTCTGCTGTTTTCTGAGTTTTGCCACTGGATTGTGTGATTTGCTGAGATACCCGTTTTCTGCTGAAGTTTCTAAGTACGCGTGTGTGCATGAATGCAGCTGTTTGTCTGATTGCATGATTGCTTGGGTGTTTGTGACCAGCCAGGGTACTTAGTGGTAGGATAGGACCCAGTAGGATAAAAAATACTCAAGAAGAAGGCAAAGGCAACGGGGATTCGACTTTCCCTGGGGAATATTCAATATTCTATAGAATTATACTAAAATTCGAAGAACATAAAAGGGCATTTACAAGTTAAGCCCCAGATGAATGCCCCAACAGCGAGGGTTCTGTTAGTTCCTGAGGCAAATGTCGCATCCATAATGAAGTGAAAAGTTGTTTTGAACAGTCACAAACAGGTCCTGCACGAACAGGTATTGGACACAGTTTTCAAGACTGAGTTAGGGTTATGTCTTGTGGCATACTGCTTAGCCACACGGGCCCTGCAGGGCCCGTCCCGGACATTCAGCCTAAAAGCCTAGAACTTAGGGCTTACAGGCCCCGTTCGTTTCAGCCTGGAAGCTGAAAAACGAGGGCCTGCAGGCCCTACCCCGTTTCAGCCTATTTCTGGGTCTTTTCACACCCAGAGTTTTCAGCCTGAAACGGAGGGCCATTTTCAGGCCCTCATTGTTTCGACCTGCCCCTAAGACTCAGGCACGGAAACAGGGATGCGGAACAGGCCCAAAATAGCCTGTTCCTCACGTGCTCGAGCAGGAGCTGCAGCTGCAGCCCCTGCCTCCCTTTGGCAGGCTCAAGAGGCACACCCG